AATTAGACTAAAAGGGTCCTAAAATGTACTCCAAATGTACATTTGTAGTTATGTTTAACAAATAACTACAACCTTATTTTCTTTAGATAGAAATACCCAACGATCTGGGTTAATTCTTCTTATCCAAATTATACAAGACATCACTCTAATAACAACATATTTATGGTATTTTATAGTTTAAGTACTAATGTTCTTTGATTAAATGAGCATCTATGTTGTCCTATATAATACAATTAGCCGGGATAAAAACAATTAAGCAATATCTACATTTTACTAAGGAAATGGATAATTTCCATTTCTAATCATTAAAAAAAAAAAGGGGGTTGGTTAAGCCTTTAAGGCCTATAAAATTCCGATTACCTAACAGGTTTGATCTCTTGTTTCTATTAATGTTATTAACATTTGTTATGTAAATGAAGACATTCTTGTTAGAAGAAAGTTTGAAGAATACTGAAAAAAAATAAGAGAAGGAAGTGTTGGTGGGATGAAGAAAGCAAATCCACTTGATGACAGTATTGCACCAGGAATGCCAGGCTACCCTGGCCCCAGGTCCATTCCCTCCGCCCTTTGCTGAGCAAAAAAACACCAAATATTTGCTACCACCCTCCAAGATGACTACCCAGTACCTTGGACACTCCTGGCCCAAGGTGAGCCTTTCACTCTTCCTCAGGGGATCTAGCCTGGGAGCAAGAGACCCTACAAATTTTTTGTTGCCACTGGACTGTGCCACCACTGTAAGAGAGCATGGAGGCCTCTTGAGAACCCCACCCCCAGACCATACTGAAATCCAAAAGGAACCACATCCCTAGCTTGGAGACAGGAAAACTTCAAGAAACAAAATCATGGACACTGGGTCTATCAGAACATTCTGACTTTGGAATTTGTTCAGAAGCCTCAGCTATCATCTTGACCTTGGGACAAGGATGACCCATATAGTTCCCAGTTCTGCCAATGGGAGGGTTGACCCTGTGGAGCCGTTACCTAAGCAACTTTTAGTTAATGGTGACCTGCCTCTACCTTCCCAACTCTCACCCCACACCCACTAACTAAACACACAGATGGGAGAATGATTGAGGCCATAGGTTATAGAAGAAGATGAGCAGCCACCAGTGAAGAGACAGCCACCCACCTCAGTGCAGGCTTAGGACCAGCAATGGCTTCGTACCTGAAAGAGGACAGCTCTGGGGTAGACACAGGACAAACACACACAGGTGTGTGGCTTTCTGAGGGCTCCATTTTCTCAGGCTAGAACAAGGGGATGGACAGGGCACCATAGCTGCCCTCAGATCCCTTTGGTTTTCTTGTCCTCAGAACCCAGCCGGTGGAGTGAAGGATCTTAGATGTGGGTTCAAATGCAACTGTCAGCCATCTTCTATAGTGCAGGCCAGTTTTAGGCTACGAGCATTCCCAACTTTTCCTGCAGTAGCAAGTTCCACAGAACCCTGATGTGGGGACAAGAAAATAGCACATGAAAAATCACTCCATTCCAGATGACACCTGCACTGCAGTCCTGGGCTTGGGCCCTAACTACTTATATGGGATGGCCCAGCAACCATTGTGACCTAGCTGTCTGTCATGGGCAGAGGACAGAATAGCTAGGGCAGGGTGTGGTTCCAGCAAGGAAGCTGGAGTTGGAGTGGGACCCAGGGTGCTGTGGGTGACTGTGTGCACTTGGGCAGAATATCTGCCTTGTTACTATAAGGATAGAAAGTGATCAAAGCAAGGTGCTCACATCTCACCAACCCTACATGCAGAGTTCTGGGCAGAGACAGCCTTTGCTCACTGACAGGCATGGCCACCACTGGATCTGGGAGCCCATATTTCCTGTATGGCTCAAGCCAAGCTCTATGGAGCTGGAGACTGGCTTCCCCCAGGTCTGGTTCAGGTGCCCAAGCCTGCAGGCATCACTTTCCAGTGGTTCCTGGGGCAGTGTCACCCCCACTGCCAGGCCCTCCATGAAAGGCACAGGGAAGTGCTGGTGGGATATCTCAAGGAATTCTGCTTAATGGCTATATTGCACCAGGTCAAATGTCAGGCTACCGAGGCCCCAGCTCCACTCCCTTCGCCTTTTGCTGAACAAAATAAACACCAACCAGTAGGCACCACTCTCCAAGATGGCTACCCAGCAGCAAGGCCACTGCTGGCCAGGGATGGGCATCTGACCTGGGTGATACAGATTACAAAGAGTCCTCATTGTCACTGGACTCTGGGACAGTTTGACTACGGGACCACAAAGCACTTCTAAATGACCCAAATCCCTAGCAGGACAATTCAAAAGTCCCATAAACAAAACGGGGCACTGGGTCCAGGAGCTAGGCCCAGCCCTGGCCCCCAGCTCTGGCCCCAGCACCATCAATGCCCACTGGGAATATTCTAACATGAGGAATCTAGAGGATCTTCAATGTTACTTTGACACTTGGGTCCAAGTAGACTCATAGGTTATCCAAGCCAGCCAAGGTTGTGGTGACAGTGGAGCCATGTCAGAACCAAGATTCCAGTTCAAATCCAGACAAAGGGGGAACGGGTGAGGTGCTTCCTGACAGACAACCTAGGACACAAAACAAGCTCGCCAGGCATGATAAGCTTGGGCCTGAATGGGGGCCTAGATCTTGGCAATGGCTTCCCACCGGCAGAAGCAGGGTCCTGGGTGGACACTGGGCAAAAGTCACACACTTGTGTGCCCTTCTGAAGGATCAAGTATCACAGGTCACAGTCCTGAGTCTTAGGAGTGCACTCACCATGGCACAGACAACACTTTTAACCATGTACATGCGCGTACACACACACCCATATGCACAGGCACAGACACAGAGATATACACACAAAGGCTCGCATGCATGCACAGACACACAAATACAGGCATGCCCAAACACCTAAGCACTCACACATAAACACACAGGCTTTCCACCAAACAATTACGCAGGCCAGTGTCCCCTCTGCCTACCAGGTAAATAATATTTTCAATTTGAAAGTGTATTGCACTCCACAAAAGGGAGACTTACTGTCCTTGAGGAGTGAGTCTCATGGAGGACACCCACCTCCTCAATTATGAGACCCTCTGTATTCTCCCGTTCCCTTAAGGAAGCTCACTCATCCCTGTCTGCCTCTCCAAGTCTACAAAGCAAAGCAGAGCGAGCCCCACCCCCATGCTACCAACTCAGCTCCCTTTGGCCAGGCCTTCTCTGAGTTCTCAGCATCACCAAGCCCCTCACTCTAAGGCGCTGCTCCCAGGCCATTGTAGTGGTTCTCTAGGCAATGGTTCCAGCAGAAGAGCCACAAGCACATTGACAACTATGCCCTAGAAAAGAACCCATGCCTCTTCTCTGGGTTGCCAGCACCAGATACCCCTTGTGCCCATGCAGGTTCTTGCTGAGGGCCTGTTCCCTAAAAGGTTTCCTAAACAGATGAAGAGTGCCCCCCTCCCCATGGGATATTGGCACTGTCCTTCCATATGAGCTACAAACACAGAAGGGTCTGGCATTGCCTTTGGTCTCTCCCACAGCCTTGCTTGGCTCTCCGGGAGGACTACCCAGGATGCTCTCTTGCCCTTCACCTCAAGACCGCCCACCCGGGCCCCCAAGCTCAGCGTTCTGCTGAAACAGGGCCTCTGGCATGTGCCAAAAGAAGGCCCTTCCTTCCCACAGTCTTCCACCTCTGGTCACAGAACAGTTGGGAAAAGAGGACGGCGTTGTGGCACTGGGTAGGGTCCAGTCCAGCTTTCTGTAGGAACCTGGACCCTGGGTGTTCTCTGGGGCTCTGGAGCAAGGTGACCAGGCAGCAAGGGGAAGCCTCCACAGGCAACCACCTGCAGGCAGTGCCTGGGCCAAGCCAGGCAAGCCTGTCTGCAGGGTATGGCTGGCCTCTGCCTTGCCTATTGTGCCCACATTTCCAACCAGGCCAGGATCTTGCCTGTTTTCACTCACAGTGACTCGGGGGAAAAAAAACGGGGGAAAAAAAAAAAAAAAAAAAAAAAAAAGAAAAAGACTGGCCAGTCCTGCTCCTCACTGCTGCATAGCTACTAGCTACACAGGTCCAGATTGCCCCAGGCTGACACTGCCACCCCACACCCCACCTCAGTGCTGGGGATGCATTTCTTTATCAGAATACTTGTCTGACAACAGTCCCTGAAGTCTGCCTGTGGGATTACAAAGGAAACTAAAATTTAGGGAACAAACTTTAGAGAACGAAACCCAAAAGAGGGGGCAATGAACAGCAGATAGGAAGTCGGGAAAGAAGGAAGGCGAGAAGAGGGAGAGGGGAGGCAAAGGGGGAAGGGAACAGGGAGGGTGGGGAAGCAGGTATGGAGGGCCGGGGCGCTCGGGCAAGGACAGGGCGGGGGAAGCCACGAAGGAAAGAGGGAGCAGAGGAAGCAAAGGGAGAAGGTCTCTGGGTGGAAAGTCGGGGTACCCAGAACCCCTTGGCAGAGCGCGGAGTATCCAGGCAGTGTGTGCTTCCACGAAGTGAGACGTGGGTGCTGGCGGGGAGATGCAAACACAGCTAGGAAGAACGGGGCTGACCCTGTGCACTTGGTGGACGGAACTGCTTTCCTGAGCCTGGTAGGAGGCCAGGCAGGGAGGGAGGGAGGGCCGGCAAGTTGGTTCCATCCCTGAGCCCCAGAGGCAGTGGCCAGGGCAGAGCGACCGCCCTGCCAGACATGGCCGCCACCGGATCTGGGCGCCTGTGTTTCCTGTATGGCCCAGGCCGAACTCTGTGGAGGCGCCGTGCGGGCCTCCGGGGGCTGGAATGGCCCAGGCAGTCGCTGTGGAGCAGGAGCCCGGCTTCGCCCAGGCCTGTTTCGGCCGCCAAAGCCTGCAGGTCCCACTTTCCAGGGGTTCCCGGGGCAGTGTCACCCCAGGGCCAGCCACTCCCCGAGAGGCACACGGAAGTGCTGGCGGGATCTCTCAAGGAATTCCGCTTGAAGGCTGTATTGCACCGCGAATGAGGGGCTACCCGGTCCCAGAGCCACTCTGTCCGCCCTTTGCTGCTCAAAAAATGCCAACCCCTGCACACAGGAGCTCCAAGATGGCTACACCATAGCTAAGCCACTGCTGACCTGGGGTGGGCATCTAGCCGAAGTGAAAGAGACCTCATAGGGTCCTCATTATGAGGGGACTGGGACTCCACTAGGGAGACCAGGCAGCCCCTGAGGATTGCAGCAGTACCCTGAAAAACTTCTACAGGATCCAGACCCCTGGTGGGCAGTTGGAAACAGCTTTACAAACCAAACAAGGGGCACTGGTCCCAGGCCACGCACCCAGCCCCAGCCCCAGTCCCAATGCCATCACTGTCCACTGGGATTATTTTAACTTGAAGTTTCTTGCAGTATCCTCAGGTGTCACTTTGACACCTGGTTCCAAGGTGAGTCATAGGTGGTTATCTACTCCTGTCAAGGGTGTAGTGACAATTCAGTCATCTCAGTACCAAGATTTTAGTTCAAATTTACCTGCCTCCCCCATACCTTCATCTCGCAAACACACACACACACACACACACACACACACACACACACACACACACGAGAAAGACAAATGAATCTGAGTTCTATGCCAGCCTATTCGACATAGGGAATATCAGCCCACTCAAGGCTACATAGTGAGATCTTCTCTTTCAAACAAAACTAGACGACAACAAAAACAACAACAAAAATTAGAAAGAACAAAAGACACAGAAAGGAAACAGACGGAGAGAAGTAGTACGGATGGGAATTAGGAAGTGGGGTGGTACAAGGGAAGGAAAGAGGAAGGGAGGAAGACAAGAAGGAAGAAGAGATAAAAGATCTCTGTGTAGAAAGTGTGGAGAACCCCAAGGGCAGAGGCCAAAACAGCCAGGGCTAGGTGGGGTTCCAGTAAGTGAATTGTGGGTGTCCTAGGGAGCTGAGGAAAGAGTCAGGGACTCAGTGGGTAGCTTTGTACACTTAGGCAGACTTTTCTCCTTGTTGCTAGAAAGGCAGGAAGCAATCACAACCACCTTCCCCATGTCTCCAAACCCCAGGAACAGACTCGTGGGCAGAGATCAAGCACCTCTCCTTCCTGCCAGACATGGCTGCCACAAGAACTCATAGCCTGTATTTCCTGTGCTGCACAGGCCAAGTGCTCTGGTTCGTGGCTGCCCTCAGGACCTTGACCTGCCTAAGGCCACCATGGATCACCTGGACCTTAGCTTTTCCCATGTTCTGCAAGCCTGCAGGAAGCCTGTCCCTTTTCCTGCCTGGACCAGAGTTACCCTGAATGCCAGTCATATTGAAAAAACAACAGGGGAGTGTTAGCAGGATGCATAAAAGGTTTCCACTTGATGGCAGTATTGCACCAAGAATGCCAAGCTACCTGGGCCCAAATCTACTCCCACTGCCCTTTGCTGAGCAAAAAAATGTCAATCAGTGGCCATGATACTCCAAGATGACTACCCAGTATCTTGGCCACTGCTGGCCTGAGGACTGCTCCCCAGCCTCAGTCCTGGGATCTGTCCTGCTGGCCACAGACACCAAAGGGCAGTCATTTCTACTGGACTGAGGCACCCCTCTATGAGAGCATGGAGCTCTCTCAAGGCACCGGGACCATACAGGGATCCTAAAGGAACACCATTCCTACCTATAAGACAATGGAAAATTCAAGGAAGAAAATCATGGATGCTGGGCCTGGGCTCAATCTCATCACTGTCTACCAGGAACATTCTGACTAGGTTATTTGTGCAGGACCCTCAGCTGTCATCTTGACCCTGGGAATAAGGGTTGGCCCATAGGGTGCCCAGGCCTGCCAAGGAAGGTCTGACACTGTAGAACATGTCCAAGTAAGCATCTAGTTCAAGATGGCCTGCCCCACACATTCTTAACTCCACAGATGGGGTCTTAACAGAGCCCATAGAGCATAGAAGGTGAGCAGCTGCCAGGGGGAGACAAGTATCCATCTCAAGGTGGACCTAGGCTCAACAATAGCTTCCTACCTGGCAGAATGTGGCTTTGGGGTGGACATAGGGCAAAATCCTCATTGGTGTGTGAGCTTGTGAGGGCTCTATTTTCTCAGGTCAGAGAGGGGTGATGGCTAAGAGACCATAGCTGGCTCTGAAACCCTTTGGTCTTTCTGTCCACACACCTCAGGCTATGCAGTCAAGGACCCTGGATGTGGGTATAGTGGATATTACAGGCCATCTTCCATAGTGCAGTCAAGTTTTAGATTGGGAGTATCCAAAGTCTCCTGCAACAGCAGGCTTCCTAGTACCCTGATATGGGAACAAGAAAATAGCAAAAGAAGAAACATTCCATTGCAGCTGACTTACAGGCCCTAAGTCCGGGCCCCAGTAACCTTTCTGGGATGGTCCAGCAACCACTGTGACCTCGCTGTCTGTCACAATCTCTGCCCTCTCCCTACATTACCACCCCAAACACCCATGGTCACTCATTGCATTTCCACTTCAGTCAATCCCCCTCCACTATTAAAGCATTGCTCCTCCTCAACACACTAGGTTTATATAGGTAATCTAAAGGAATTCTATCTCTGGATGTAAATTAGTGAAGAAATCTGAACCTACATAAAAAAACCCAGTCACTGGGCACAGGCACTCACCATAGCCCCCTTAGTGCCCACCAAGTAATGATCCCTCTTATTGGCTCTTGCAGGACCCTCCACAGTCATCTTCATCTCATGTACAAGGGATGCTTTTTCTTTCCTGATGATAGAACCTTGTGAGAATGGGCATGCCTAAAAGCAGATCTCATTTCTTGGTCCTTCTCCTATGCTTTCTCTTAATCTGCATTTGTGGAGAGAGCAAAGTTGACAGTGAAAGATAGACTGTCTTCCTTATACCTCCACCAATGCTAGTCTCTCTGCACCTCTTTCTCTTGTTTTGCAGCAGAAAACACATAGATGTGCATGTGACTGTGAAGATTTTATTTTGGAATATAATTATACATGAGGACAATAATTGTTTTTAAAAGTTTTTGTTTGTGGTGTATGTGTCTATGTGTACGAGTTTATGTGGGTTATTTGGTTTGCCTGTGTGTGTGTGTGTGTGGACTCCAAAGGCAGACACTGGAATGACTTCCTTAATCACTTCTGCACCTCATTTTTTTGAAGACAGGGTCTCACTGCAAGTTTAAGCTAGGCTGTCTGGCCAATGAGGCCCCAGGATGTACCTGCCTCAGTCCCCCAGTACTAGAGATACAAGTGCATGCAGCCACATACCTGACTTTTATTTAAGTGCAGAGGAGCTAGACTCATGTTCTCATGCTTGAGAAGCAAGCACATTACCAACTCTGATGTTTAAGATAGGTTTTTAGGGGTTTTTAAAAATATATATATATTTTTAAAAAAATATGTCTCCCACAGTCCCAGCTGGCCTAGAACTCACTATGTAGACAAGGCTGGCCTCAATCTCACAGAGATCCACCTGTCTGTCTTCCAAGTGCTAGGATTAAAGGCATGTGTTAGATACCATGCCCAGTGTTAGGTTTTTAATTTGATCAATCTAGAATCACCAAGGCCACAAGCCACTGGGTTTATCTGTGAGGAATTATCTAGATTAGGTTAGCCTCTGGGCATTCCTCTGAGGCATATTCTTTATTGGTTAATTGAGGTGGAAGACTCACCTTAAATGAGGGCTGCACCATTCCCTGGGGTGGGATCCTGGACTGTATAAATGGAGAAAAAGAGCTGAGCACCAGCATTCATTGATTTCTTCTTCCTGTGTGGGAGATGCAATGTGACCAGCTGCTTCAAGTTCCCGCTGCCTTCAGTTTTTTGCCATGGAGGACTGTGCTTTGAACTATAAGCAAGTATAAACCCTTCCTTAATTTGCTTTTGGCAGAGTTTTTTTTTTTTTGTCATAGCAACAGGAAAAGTAACTAAGACACCGACTGAGTCTTCTCCCTAACCCCCAAGACATTAATATCTTTCAAATTTCTTGGCATGTCACAAGAGTGAGTGGGTATGGAGATTGGCTTCAGTCCGTAGGTGTGAGAAGGTATCACCATCCCCTTTAGCATGAAAACACTCTTAATATTCAGCAATGGTTTCATGTATGGCCTTTTCTTCAGGAGAGCTATACTGTTGGCTAATGGCAATTAAGAGGTAAAGGAGAGGGCTGGGAGTGGTGGTGCATGCCTTTAGTCCCAGCACTGGGGAGGCAGCCAGATCTCCGTGAGTTCAAGGCCAGCCTGGTCTACACAGGGAGACCCTGCCTCAAAAAGACCAAAAAAGAGGTGAAGGTGAACTGGTAAGGTTGTGAATGGAACTATACTGAATACCAAAAAGTCATTAAAAAGGATCTTATTATCCTCCCTCAGTCAGCCACAGAATCTGTAAAGGTCCTGCTTATGGCAGATGTTCTCATCAGGTTTGTGTCCATTTCCTTTGTAGTCTCCCCTCATTGTGCAGGATGCTTGCTAGAGACCTGCCTTTACCTTATATAGTCACACAGCCATTGCCTACGCAGTCATTCACACAACTCCTAATTCAGGTCCTGTGATTAGAATCTCTCTTAAGAGCCTTGTCTACTGCCTGTGACTAAAACTACAAATGATGATACAGTTGCCCATGTTAAGAACCTACCTCCAGGCTAGAGATATGGCTCAGTGGTTAAGAGCACTGGCTGCTCTTGCAGAGGACCCACATGGTGGCTGACAGCTATCAATAACTCAGTTACAGATAATCTGATGCACTCTTCTGGCTTCTGTGGGCATTGCACCCACATGGTGCACTTACATACATGCAGGTAAAACACACATACACATAAAATAAAAATAAATATTTTAAAGAACCTACCTGCCTTGCCACAATCTTGTTATGAAGGGAATGTAGAAATATCACAACCATTGGCATTTCCATCAGATCAAATAGACTATTTTTGAAAGGAGGAACAGAGCACAGAGTACTTACTCAGAACATCAGCGTGTACAGACCACAGTGGACTTTTTCCCTTCCTGCACTGTTTACCCTGGAAAGAGACATCAGAATGTCTTTCAGTTCATGTGAGGCTGCCAAGCTGGACAAAATGTAGTACTACACCTCACCTGGCCAAGTTAGACAGTACCCTGAAGCGACACTACCAGCTCTCAGGTGCAATGTGATTTCTGAAGAAACCACTCCATGAAAATCAATGCTACATGGCCTATGGAAACCTCACAGGTGTTTGCTTTCCTTTTTAAAGAAAAATAAGTAGTTTGTATGAAAGGGTCCATTGGAAGTGGGAGGATATTGTTCCCTAAGATCTCTTTTTGGAGGAGCAACCCTTTCATCTCCCCACTTGTAGAACTTCCTCTCTTGGGGAAGCAAGGTGGATCAGTGGGGAAAAGTGCTTGCCGTGACCACCTGAGGTCAGTCCCCAGAACCCATGTAAAGGTAAATTGTGCCCCTACCTCTACATGTATGTCATGGCATATTCCCCTGTAGCAATAGTAATAAAAATAAATTCAATATAAAAATAACCTCCTCCTTGGGGCTGGAGATCTGGCTCAGCAGCTGAGTGCATGGACTGCTCTTGCAGAGGACCTGAGTTCTATTTCCAACACCATGTTACATGGCTCACAGCTTCCTATAACTCCAGCTCCTAGGGGATCCAATAACTCTAGCCTCCATAAGCATCTGCACTCATATGCACACCCCCCTCACCACATACATACAATTAAAAATAAACCCTTTTTAAAAATTATTTATTTAATAACCACATAATTAGAAGAAGCATTTCATTATAACAACATTGACATATTCATTAACAATAATAACAATTTCCAGAGCAAAGATGCTTCTCTTTGAAAATTAGCTGTAAATTTTGAGGTTCACAGTTAAATTAATACAGTTATACAATATTGAACTCAGTATAACCCTTATAAGACATAAAATTGAATGAGGTTTTAACCTTTAAAAAAGATCTCCGTTTCATAAACCCTTTTTTGAAAACTTGTGGGGGTTTATAAGATGGCTCAGTAGGTAAACACACTTGTCAACAAGCCTGACAACTTGAGTTTGAGCCTCCAAACCCTCATAGTAGGAGACAATCTACTCCTAAAAGTTGTCATCTGACCTCCGTATGCACATTTAATACAGAAGGCACTAGTGAGCCAGTGAGATGGCTCAGTAGATAAGGGAACTTGCTGCCAAGACTGATTACTTGAGTCTGATTCCCCTATAACCTGCCTGGTGGAAGGAGAGAGGTGACTCCCATAAGTTGTCTTCTGACCTCCACTCACATGCTGTGGACATGTGTGCACCCACACAATAAATAAATAAATGTAAAAATAAATACAATGTATTTTTTATTTATATTACAAATTGTATATAAATTATACATTATAAAAATACATAATTACGGGGCTGGAGAGATGGCTCATCAGTTAAGAACATGGGTTATTCTTGCAGAAGACCTGGGTTCGAATCCCAGCACCCACATGGCAGCTAA